TATTTATTGTGTGTGTGTGTGTGTGGCCAGCTCAGCCCACCAGGGGGCGGGTCTGGCTGGCATGTGGTGCTGGGGATCGAACCGCAGTCCCTGTGCTTTGCCAAGCTTGTTTCAAGTAGGTGCTTTAGACCACTGAGCCATCTCTCCAGCCCCGATGCTGGCTTTTCTGTTGGCTGTTTTATTCTTAAAAAGTTCCCCTCTTAGACCAAATTTAGAAACATGTAAGAGCAATCAAATCAAATTTATTAAAATGATCAGAATGGTCAAGATCTCGCACTTGCTGAGTTCACTAAGCCAACCACCCCCAGATGGAGTCTTGCTATATGGTTCAGGCTGGCCTTGAACTCATGTAGCCCAAGCTGGCCTTGTGGCAATCTTCCTGCCTCAGCCTCCCAAGTGCTGTGCTCACAGACTGATGTCACAACACTGGACACCACACTTCCATTTTCACCAAGTAAACTACTGGTTAAAAAGCCACCACTAGAGCAAGGTACGGTGATGTACACCTGTAATCCCAGCACTCTGTGAGGCTAAAGTAGAAGGACACAAGTTCAAGGCCAAGCTGGGCAATTTAGTGACATGCTTTCTCCAAAACAATGGCCGGGAGGGCCAGCGAGACAGCTCAGTGGACTAAAGCGCCTGCTTAGGCAGAGCACAGTGGCCGGGGTTCAATCTCCCGAGTGCCATGCCAGCCCCACCCCTGGCAAGCTGAGACTGCAACTGAGACTGGGTGTGGTGGCACATGCCTGTAATCCCAGTGTTTGGGAGGATGAGAACAGGAAGAGTTGGAATTGGATCTACATAGTGAGACCCTGTAGACCCTGTACTAAAAAAAAAAAAAAAAAAAAAAGGCTGGGAATGTAACCCAGGGCAAAGGTCCTGGGTTTAATCACAGAAACACACACACACACACACACACACACACACTCGGCCACAACAATGGAGGAGTACTATGCTGGATATGTGGACCACTGAGTCCCAGTGAGTCACCATCCTATTGAGCACAAGTAGCACCTCTGACTTCTAAGAATGGACTCTGTGGAGCAGGATGCTCACACCTATGATTATACTAAATTACAGAGGATGCCATCTTTGCAAATTGGAGCAAGAGATTTTCCTGCTAGCTTTGAACAAGCTGCGAGTCCATCATGAGAGGGCCCCATAGCAAAAAGCTGTCAGTGGCCTCTTGGACACTCAGAGCTGGCCTGAGAAGCCACAGCCCTACAATCACAAAGCCCTGAATTCTGTGACAATCGTATGACCTTGAAGACAACCCTAAGTTCAAGAAAAGGAGCACATCCCAGCTAGCACCTTGACTGCAGCCCTGTGCAGTGCTAAGCAGGGACCCGACTAAGTGACATCTAGACTCCTAACCCATGAAACTAAAGCGTAAGTTACATCTCGGTGAGAATGTTTTGTTTTTTTAATGTATTTAGTACAGGATCTATAGGGTCTACAGGGTCTCACTACATAGATCAGACTCATAGTGATCCTCCTGTTTACAGCCTCCCAAGTGTTGAGATTACAGGCACGCGCCACCACGCCCAGTCTCAACTGCCATCTCGGCAAGACTGTATTTGTAATAATCCATTATATGCCAAGAGATAGTTAATAACAGCTATCTATCAGCACAGAAGGTCACTCTAACCAGCCCTACAGTGTAATCTGAACATTGTTCATGTCCTACCTCTCACCAAGAAATAGCAAAACTAAAATATAGTCAATGAAAAACACAATCTGTTAGTTTAGCGCTGGTTATATGTAAAAACTTGTCAAAATGAAAAAAGACAGTTGTAAGGAAGAACATAGGCAACATAAAATCCTACAGGAAGACCAGTGAGGGACCTGAAGAGGGAAACTATCAAGTGCTCACCAAGGAGGCTTAGGTAGCTTGATCCCATCTTTGGCAGGAATTGGTATTTGGCTCCTAGAAAGGAATAATCCATATTGGGGCAGGCCTGGTTTGTGGGAGAGCTGTGGTGTGAAGTTCTAATCTCTCAGGATGGCCACCATGGTGGTCTGACACCGACTGTCGTGCCCACGCCAGTCCCCATACTTACGCACTGCTCGCTGGTCTCTGGGATGAATTCCCCCTCGCTGTTGATGCTGGTGTAGGATCCCTGCCGGGCAATGTGCTGCTGCCGCTCAGGCACATAGCCAGGGGGAGGTGAACTTCGGCCGGGGTTCTGGGAGCCTGAAGCACAGAAAGGAGGCTTTTAACAAATGCACCCAGGACACTTGGCTCCAGAGGGGCAGGCACGGGCCAGATAGAGATACAGGGCCCTAGGTCAGGATGTGACTCCTGGGGGTTGCAGCACCAAAGCCCAACAAGCTTCAGCAGCCTGAGGCAAAGTACCTTCCTAGCAGGAAGCCAACTCTAGAGACTGAGCAGGCCCTAGAGCACTTATGACCAAGAGCCTCAGCATAAAACCTGAGCAGAATACACCCTACAAAACCAACTTGCACTTGCAGCTAAAGCGGCTTATAACATTCATACACAGAAATAAGTATTCCTCCATGAAGTCATTCCTCTTTTCCCTTCAGAGCCTCACTACCATTTCTTCACACTCTACAGTTAGGAGTTCCCCATATTCTCAGGGGATAAGTTCTAACACCCAGTGGGTGCCTGAGACCCCCAATAATATCAAACATGCTAGATAATGAAATTTTTTTCTGTGCATATGTATGTGTGATAAAGTTTAATATATAAATTAGGCATGGTAAGAGATTGACAACAATAAAATAGGATGTTTATAACAATATTGTGTAATAAAACTCAACGTTATTGCTCCTGCAACTGGGGCTATTAAGTAAAATAGGGGTTTCTCCCATCCGTCCTGATGACTGCGAGCACTTGTTGCCCCCCGCCAGTTCCCAGCAGTGGGGACTGAACCTAGAGCCTCTGTACTGAGCTATCTTTTGGTCCACATTTTATGAAAAGGTCTCGCTCAATCTCCTAAACTGGGCGTGAACTTGTCATCATCCTGCCTTCACTTCCCAGAGGGCTGGGATTACAGGCATGTACCACCACACCCAGCTTCATGTTGTATTTAAATTATGCTTCTTCTTTTTCGTTGGACTTCACCACACTGACTTCGCCTCCAGGCTTGGCAAGCGCTGCTAAGTGACTGTTAAATGGCAGCTACTTGACAAGGCACCCTTACATGTGCTACTTCCCTGAAGCCTTTCAACAGGCCTGAGACATAGGGTTTGCTTTACTTACCAGAGGAAGAAACAGACTCAAGGAGCTTTATGCTTCTCAAAAAAAAAAAAAAAAATCATAGGAGGCAACAATGTACCTACTTTCCAGGTGAGAGGATATAGAAGCCAATTTACCTGAATTTCTATATCAGTTGGCAAAATGGGATAGTTTATACCCTGACATCACCAAATAACACAAGTGTGAGCCTGTGGATTATAAATCACTAGGCAACACTTTAGTTATCAGGAATTGAGTCTGAAAAATCAGACCTCCCTCCTCAGGGCCAAAGATTTTCTGAGTCTGCCACTTTTCCTGCTCAGAGGAGACAGAAGTACTGTCAGAAGCTGCAGCATTTCCTCTTTTAAGCACACCAAACAAAAAAATCAACCAGTCCAGGTTTTAAAAAGCTTGAACAGAGCTGAGGGTGTAGGTGAATGGTAGAGCACTTGCCTAGCATGCACAAGGCCTTGAGTTCAGTTCCTAGCTCAGGGAAGAAAAAAAAAAAGGCTTTAGTGATATCCACATCAAATATATTTAGTAGTTTGAAAACTTAAATATAGGGCTCTTTTTTTTCAAATAAAAAAAATCATTTATTTAGTTATTTGGTACAAGGTCTCGCTACACAGCTCAGACCTATAGTGCTCCTCCGTCTCAGCCTTCCGAGCACTGGGATTACAGATGTGTGCCACCACACCCAGTTTTGGTGGCTGCCATGGCAAACAGGCACGTGGTACTGGGGCTTGAACTGGGTCCTTGTGCTTGTCAGGCAGGCACTTAGACTGCAAGCTAGCTCCCCAGGCCCAAATACAGGACTCTTATCCTAAGATCCTTTCCTTCTCTGGGGGCATCATACAGAAAATCCACCCGAGCCTCCCAGCGCCTGATCTTCCTCTGTGCTCTTCAGCTCCCCCCAGGGCCAGCAATTCCCAGACACGGCTAACAGAAGCAGTGCCCTCCCTCAACAAAACAGGCCGCTCTTCTCTGCTCAGACGCCCAGCTCTCCTGCCTGCAGCACTAGGCTTCCTGAAGTACAGCTGCAGGCATGACCTCTGTGGGAACAGTTCAGAAAAAGAGCAAGTTTGGTAGCTGGAGCTCTGGGGAAGAACCTGGTCTGATCTACCCTGAAAGCCCAAACAGCCAACACCAACTGGTTTCTTGAAAGGAGCCAGTTTCAGAAGGAAATTGGGGATGCTTGTGCTCTGGAAGGAGCACCGAAGCTGTGAAGGAGCCCCGCTGAGCTGCACTGGGGACAGGATGAGCCCTGGCCCTGTGGGGCTTGGGGCGCACCCCAGCAGGGCTCCTCCCACTACTCCACACCTGCCACGGAAGGAAAATACTTAATAAAAATACAGGCTGTGGAGGGTTGCTCTTTGAGGCAGTTTGTACAGAACTTAACCTGTTACTGTTTTGTCAATGTCTTTTGTTGAATGATTCCTTCACTCTCCATAAAGTCAGCTTGTCAGAGCACCTGGCTCATTTAGTTGTGTAGAAGAGATCTGGCCACTGCCACAGGAGCACTTCAACTGCTCCTTGGAGGTATTAACCTAAGGATGTGACGCTGGGAGAGAGGCTAACATGGGAACCTGCAATCCGGCTTCTTCCCGACTCCAGAGAAACAGCCAGAAACAAAAGTGCTCTGAAAGAAGACAGGCGTTTTCTGGATTTCCTGCCTCAGCACTTCCCTCGCAGGGTGGAGGCTGGTAATTCCCGAGCAGAGCAGACCTGAGCTGTCTTTCACACACTCTCAGGAGAGTCCCTCTAAGGCTCGCAACAACTGAACTGACTCTGACTGGAACGTTGGGGATACTGTGCTGGGAGCTCACAGAGCAACCTATCTGCCAGCAGGGGCTTTTCCCAGCTCTGCATCCCTCTCTTCCTCCCTCCCACCTCTCTCTTTCAGCACTCATTTCTCATTTAACCTTTAAAACAACCCCGTGGTGGAGGTGCATGACTATCATCTACACAGAGCAGAAGGGGAACAGAGACCCAGAGCCATGAAGGAGCTGTGGCTAGCAAACAGCCTGTGACTCCCAGGACAGGTCAGCCAGAGCACTTTTGAGACCAAAATCTACTTTTAAAGGACCAGTATGCTGCTCACCACAGTGCCTGCAGGCAAAGCTTCTCAATGAACTGCTCCCCTTGGGTGGGCAGGGAGGACGGGTCCCTCCACTGGGGAGAGGCTAGCTGGCATGCAGACGTCTTGACGGTGCAGAGAAAACATAGTGCTCTGTTCAACACCACTCAGATTCAGAGTTGTTTCGCCCATGTTTATCCGTGAGAAGGGCAGGAACACAAACAGGGCTCAGAAGAGACAAATGGGAGAAAAGAGAAACCCAGACCAAAGAGAAGAAAACGACTCTACTTTCAAAGCCTCCTCCGGATATTAACACACATGGGTCTGCCCACTGCCCTTGCTACTGTAACACAAAATTCCAGTGCACCCATGAAGAAAGCTTTTCCCAAGCCCCACCAGTACTAAAAGCACACAGCCCTATTAAACCTCTAACTTACAAATATTAGCCTACAACCTGAGTCCAATTTTGGCTTTAGAGAACATTTCAGTGACCCAGAAATTCCGTGGCAATTCAACCCATATGTTGTTAACATTTTCAGCAGCAGAAACAAGACTTTAACAGGTGAGTAGGATATGTATGGAGAAAAGCTTAGCTTTGGAATTAGGTTCAAATCAGGCTTTGATAGTCATTAGGTGATTTAAACGCTCACCTCAATTTCCTCACCTGCAAAAACGCAGAGAACTAATTCAGCCCATAACTACATTTGGTGGCACAGGTACACATCTACATGACACACCTACAGGCAGAAACAGGGCAGAATCGCATTCGTTTTGTTGATTTTATACGGTAGACAAGAGTTACGCTCAGCATCCATTCTACCTGTCACCTCTTTGTGCACCTCAGAAGCTAAAGCTGTATTTCTAAGCCTCTTCTGGGGTCCAGACAACCAGATGCACTTGTGTGGGACTTAGTTCCCTGTCATTCCTCTGCCCCCAAGCCCAGTCAGAGTACAGGCAGCCCTGTGTCTGTATGGACCACTGCGCTTCTGGACGGGGACCTCCCGATTACAGAAGGGAGAGAAGCTGCCACATACGTGGACCCATCGCCTGTCTTACCCTCTCTTGGTGGTTCCATAAGTCAAGATGTGCACAACATCTTTTCTTTCTGAAACAAGCAACTGAACCCTGACCAATATGCTCTGTGGTGAACAGAAATTACACATTTTACCTAAAACAACAGAAATGTTTTCTTGAAAGAGACTGAGTAAAGAAAAAGAAAAATTCTCACTTTTTGATGAAATCTGAGACCTAATGGGTCCATCCAGATTACTGAAGACAGAAGGAACTGCCCCCTAACTCTCAGCGTCCACAGGCAGCTGCCGGGGGTTGATACACAGGGCCTTGCTGACACCCATCCTCCCCACTGAACTCTCCCCTCGTTTGGCAAGAGGAAAGAGACTAGCCCCTTGGAGGCCAGCACCACAGACGCAGAGGGCCTGGGGTAAATCACTAGGGTTTTCTGAGCTTTTATTTCCAGCCAGAGACTTTCACTTTTTCCAATCTACACCACAGAGCCAGCCTTATTATCTGATGGGCAACAGGCCAGGGGCTATTGTGCACAGGCCCACTGCCTAGAGCAGGAAAGGGAAGTCTCCCCAGACCAATGGCTATCAGAGGAAGCGAATGGAAAAACCAGGAGTTGGCAGAATTGCTCCAGGGTATTTTCAGTTTTGTTTTTATCTTCATTTCAGGCATTGTGAGTCAACCAGATACACAAGCAGCAGTCAAGAGCAAGTGAAACAAGGGACAGCCCAGGGCAGGACACTGGACTACAGGACTCTGATGGTCATAGATTTACCAGCAATGGCAAGCATGAGCTAGACTGCACAAAGCTCTGCTACGCAAAGCACAGGACACTGCACAGGTGTCAGGAGGCAAGCACAGGCAAGGGGTGGGGCGCACGTTCTCCGAGACACCC